CTCCCTCTGCCAGAGTAAAGGCCATGTGGGAACACTGTGGAGGGGTAGATAGCTGTGCTAGTTTACTGCCGTAGTGAGCTCTCCTGTGGTATGTGTTTCTGCCTCTGTCTGCCTCTCTCTCTCTCTCTCTCGCTCTCTCTATCTCCCTCCCTCCAGTATTTTCCATGCTTTACTCTCTGCCTCTTGGGATTAAAGGGTGGTTTCCACAGGTCCTCAATGTGTGAAAAATCTCTTGATGGAGCCAAATCTCCAAAAGCCCTTAGAACTGTAAAAACACATTTAAAGGTGTAGTGTCCATTTTTACTCTTCAGCTAATACCAGCAGCTATTTGCTGTAAATGCTTTAAAGGGTGTTCAAATGGAAATGTGTTGCTGAAGTGCAGGACATGTATTTACTCACCTTACATACTGTATACTCATAGAATGTAAATGTACACCTCTCTCCAAAATGTCCTTCTATCTTCAACAACATTCTCAAACTGAGATTCAATACAGTATAAAGTCCGATGACTGAAGTACGCAATCAAGAACTGCATGGAGCTCTCTGCACACACGCGGAAATGAATCATTTCTGTCAGTATGGCGAAAGTGAAGGCGACAGATAGTGAGTAGGCCTAGATGTATAATTGAATGTGTGGTGGGTCTCTGTTCACTCCTGTCATTAGTAATCTCATCAGGAAAGCAGGACATCCAGTGGGATCCAGTAACTGTGCATGTAATGAGTTGTTGTATAGTTTTTGTCATCTTTTTCTACCCAAAGTTAAAGGTAAGACCACTCCAAATATTGTGATAATCAATTATTTTCAGGGTTCTTTGCATTTGTGGGCGTATTTCCTCGTTATATCAAATTGTCGTTGAAATCTTGGATATTGCCAATAAAGCTGGTGTTCATATTCCAGCCATCTAAAACAAAAATTGTTAAATTAAGTTTTTGTTGTGTCGGTCTCACAGAATCAGAACGACTTGTGTCCAGACTCATCCTGGAGCAGTGGCGTTCAACTGTCATATTGAGAGAATTCAAATCAATACGGGACATTTATATATTCCTCCATTGACACTAGCTTCAATAATGCAACAATGCAACAGAGCCTCAAGAAACGCTGTCATTTATTCTCTACTGATGTCCAGATAAGAGAAGAAAACACAGCTGAAGGCAACAAGATCATACCTGTTCTCAAAGGATTGTCAAAAGCCATTCTGGGAAATATGGAATGAAGTAGAAATGGAGAAGGCAGTTTGAGGGGAAGTGGGTCTATAAAAAACACAAAAGAAATTGAGACACTTCATCATAATGTCTGAAACTTCTGAAATGTGTTAAACATCATAAAGTGATAATATAAAACCATGTGAGAGCATCTCAGGGAGGATTTTTTTGACACTTAGTGGCCAGACTGATGATCAGATAATGTAAATTGGGTCCCAAAAGAAATATCTGCCTCTTAGTCTTGGACCCACTCTTACCTCTGTCATGTCATTAGTTTCAGTTAGACGGGAAAGAATACACTTGAAGGAGAGAGAGAAGCTTTCAGATGGAGAGCTTTACAAGCAGACTGACAATATTGGCCTCTTGTCAGCCTGTTCAGAGTGATTGAACATTCATTTATATAATTGCGTGTGCATGAAAATGTGATATTAATACCCCTATTATTATTAATTGAAATAGAAGTACTATAGAGTAGATACACTTTTGAAAACTGCTAGTTTAAATATGTTACATATTGGAACAAAATATTGCTTATTAGCAGCTTTTCAAAATCAATGTTATTTTTCAGGAATCAAAGCGATTTGTTTTGAATAGAGGCAATACTCTAACTAGACAAAAGTGCAGATTATTTTATAGATTCTAAAACCGTTTCACATAAATGTCCATGTTTTGCTTCTTAGCCTATATTGTATTCAAATAAACACATGCCCCATTAAATATGTGTCAGTTCTAATACTGATACAGAAGTGATGCTTTATGACGGAGTGTACTGTGGAGTTTTGCCATCCCTTTCTTGTCTGCCTCTGGTTGGCATCAGGGGACAGCACCAGTCAACCCACGAGTGTTCTACATGTCAAAACTGATTTAGAGGCTTCTACAATAAGTCTCATATAAACAGTAGCGTGGCCTTGGCACTTCTTTTTCTTCCATCCCACCTTAACAGCCACTCTGCCAAGTTCCCAGTTCCCTTAACTTTTGTTACAAAGTTTGGCCGTATACTCATTCTTTTCCCTGCAAGATAAGTTATGCTTGACATAAATTGGCTTTGGCCCGGTGGGTCAACGCTACAGTATTTTGTTATTGCAGATCAAATGAAAGAAAGTCAATAATTTTTTCCCACTTCACAGCATCTTCTGGGTTGTCTTTATAGCGCTTCCAGAGTGCAGAATCAACATTTCACAATTATAATCTCATATCATTAAAGTTCTTGATGCAAAGATCAATTGAGATAGATGTTAGCATCTTGGTTGATGCCAGGATCAATTTGTTTGGATAGAGAACAAATGTTTCCTGATTTCTTACCAAAATAGTCTTACATTCAAGCAATTGCACCCTAATATTATATGTTTAAATGCTTTAGTATCGGCAGCATTGTCGCTAGATTCCAGAATGAGATGTATTTTCATAATGACTATAATTTTGTTAGAAACAGTTAAACCTCGAGTGGGTGGAAAGCTCATTTTGGGACAAACAAACTTCACAAACTCTTCATCTGCTGATTGTTATTTTAGTTGTCATGTAGCTCACTCACACAGAGAAAAGAAAGCTGCTTCAGAAAAAGGACCCTGCAAAGTACCAGATGCCTACTAATTTATGATCTGTGCAGCTGTCGTATCAATGGGGTGGCAGGAAATTGAATTAGATGAATTAAAGGATTTATGTGATCTTGTAAACGTCTTGAGGAACTGTGTGCATCCATTTCTGCTAAAAATAGAGGTGTGTTTGTTTGTTTTGTGTTGGTTCACATGTCATGTTGTGTGCAGAAGGAGAAGAATGATCTCCCATCTGCATCATGTTTTTGTCCAGAACAACATGATTAAATAGCTTGATCCCTTGCATTTCCCCCTCTGCTATAGCCATAAGAGGCGGAAAGAAACATCTTACAGTAGGTGGTTGGAGATGAGGGGTTGCTGCAGTGTAGGAAAATCACTAGTTCCACCGAGGCAGTTACAGGAAGATTACAGCAGGGACTTTATAAAAGAAGCCAATTATGACAGCATACGGTAATTACCCTAGTACCCTAAATTCAATTACCCTCTCTGGCACTTTTCAATTTCCGTTCATTAAGTGGATTAAGTAGAAATACATGTTCTTCAAGTTTAGAAATGATTAAAAGTCTAAAGGAAGTTGAGAGGCAATGGAGGGGAGGAGACTCATTTCTGCGTGTGATTAATCATGGGTGTTTTTTGTAGGAGTTCATGTTTCGTGCATCAAATTGATTTTGTTCATCACGAGGCAGAGGAATGATCCATGTCGGGCCTGTACAGCTGAAAGGTTTGTTAATGACATTTTCTTTTCTCCATTTACTGGGTTTGTTTGTTTGGTTTTTCTCATACGGCCCCAGTTATTTATGTGTCATGTGTTGCATTTGCCTGTCCTTCAACTTAAAAAGACGCCTGCAATAGAACTGTCTTGGAGCAAAATCTGACAGATTTTTCGACAAAGTTTTCGGGCCAAGAAATGTCCTCGAAAATCATGCAGCCTCGCTGAGGCAACTGCTTTGTGCAGCACTGACCAAAAGGCTTCTCTATGTATTGTGGCCCTGAGACCCATAACTCAATCAGAGTTTCTCTGTCAAAGACGGAAGAGGCTCAATACGTCTCCTCTGAATAATGACAAAGTTTTCTTCCATGCCTTTTTCCACTGCATTATTTTTCCCATTTCTCATTCTGTAAAGAATTCTGTAACTCCAGGCAGGGAGCAGAGACAAGTCTGTAGTTCCTTTACACACTGCGCCAGTTAATCCAGTTAATCTATGCTTAATAAAAGTTATACATACTTACATTTTATTGTAATGGTTGCCAGAGGTGTTTTTGTTTCAGTACTGAGGAAGGAATAAACTTGTTTTAATAAGTTGTGGGTAGGACGCCAGGATAGTAGTTTTTACGGATGTGACAGAAGGATATTGGTATGAATGTCTTAGTTTTCCAATATTGTTGTTCCTGTTGGCTACTTCTCTTTTATTTTTGATTAAAGAGTGTTAGAGAAGAACAGTGTTTTTTTTTTTCAATGATTCCATTCATTAAAGTTCAAACCATCTGAGATGCTGTCTGCCTCCCTTGTTCCCTCCCAACCCTATTTCCTCTGAGCAGGGGTCGTCAGCCTATTATTTTACATTATCTGCCATCATCAAAGAGGATGGATCCACCGGCAGTACATGGTAGCGCTGCAGTTCTCCTGCACTGGCAGAGTGATTGATCTGCTCCTCTGCATCCTGATGAAAGAGACTACCTTTGTTCTTGCCAGGGGCCCAGCGCTTGCCCTGTTAAATCATCTTCTACCATCTGTCTCTAGTTGTCTCCATTAGACCCTGTTTTTTTATCAAACTATAGATTTTGGACCCAGTAGGGTTTCATACCTGTGGTGGGAAAACAGGAAATAGTTTAAGATGTCTAACCATGGGCCTTTGTGAATTGTATTAATAAGAAGAGCTCAATATTTTAAATAAGGGGGTTTCTGCACACAGTTGCGGTGAACACGTGGTATGACCTTTAGAATTATAACATTCATGCTTCTATATTGTTTCCCTATTTTCTGTATAAAAACAATTTCAAAATCAGGTAAAATTTCAGCTAAGGTCTATAATACTCGGCACTGCATTATTTCAACCAGGAAACTGTACTATATAATGGTATTCATTATTTGTATATGTTCATACTGTGTGTAGACTATACAGTAGCCCAGCTTGTAAATTTGTGACTATAATGTAATACCACCAGTCGCCTACAGATAGCGCCCCATTTCCATGCAAAGGGCAATTTGACAATGTCCCTAACGGCTTCCCGTCTGCTACGTCCATTACCGGAAGATTTACCTTTATCCTGACACGTAGCAACCACAACCAAGTTGGCAGTGGTCTGGGTAGATTTGTCGAACATCACGGGTAAGTATCAGCATTTGCGATGCTTTGAGGATAGAAACTGTGTAAGAAAAGTTAACTAGAACATTAAAGCTACTACTGACATAATGCGTGAGGTATGCATGCCAGGTCTCCGCAACCGTTATAGCTAGCGTTATTTAGTCAACGGTGCGTTAGCCAACTAATGATCACTAGCTTGTTTTGTATTTTTGCAAGGATTGTTGAATTATCCTTTAAAGTGGTTGTAATTGTCCAGCCATCTGATAGTTGATACTAACATTCGACTCACAATAGACTAATGACATCTAATTGTATCTTTGTTTTTGTGTGTGTGGCCAACGTTGCGTTAGCTAAGGTAGCTACCTTAGCTCCCAGTTACATTAACGCTAGTTAAATCCATGTGGAGATAACTGTCCTTAAGTTTACGAGCTATAATGTAGCTTTAACGAACGTTAACCGTGTCATGTTTTCATGAACGATTCCTCGTGTGATGTAATGTTATGATTAAAAATGTTATGATCTAACTTGTGCAGCGTCAAGTTATGGATATAGAAATGTTTGCTAGAACATTGTTAAGCTCCCTGTCGTGGCATCACCAATAGCAGTGTTGCCTCAAACTGAGGGACTAATTTTAGATGATAAAACCATGTTTAAATGTATTGATTAGGTAACGATGTGACTCATGTCGTCTTGTTAAACTTGTGACAGTCATTGTTTTGATGATCAAAGTGTACCAAAACAAATGTCATGGCAAGATGTATTTTTGAGATGATTCTCTCTAGATTGTGCTCTATGACAGAGAGCATATTTGTTCAACATAACAGTACTTTCAAATGTGTGTATATATATGTGTGTGTGTGTGTGTTTTTTATTGATACCTCACTGTAGAACAAAATAATCAACCTAGCTGATAAGTTGTGTGCCTGTTGCTGTCTGTTTTTCCAACAGAGTGAGAGATGTCAGGGTTTGATAATTTCAACACAGACTTTTACCAGTCGAGCTACAGTGTTGATGACCAAAGCCAAGGCTACAGCAACACTGAAAACCCCTACAACAAGTAAGGAAGCCTGAAAGCCCCCCTCGACTGATGCTCCCTCTGTTATGAGCCATTTCAGCTGCTGAAGACTTGCCTACCGAACACTTTGTTGCCTGGCTGAATACCTTATTTGACATCTTTTAAGTGCATTTGTGATTAAGGTGAAGGGCGTTTCATTCAAAGATAACTAGTGACCATTATTATTATGTGTTTCTCAGGCAACACGATGGTCAGTACGACTATTCCCAGCCCATGGGCTACTCTCCCCCAGGGATGATGCAGCCCCAGCAGCCATATACGGGACAAATCTTCCAGCCCACACAGACCTACACCCCATCCCCATCACAATCCATGTATAGTAGCAGCTTTGAAGACGAGCCGCCGCTGCTAGAAGGTAGGCCTACCACAACCTGTAGTCTGTGATTTCGATTAGCTATTATTACACTGTGTATATCGTTAACTGTGCTAATATTTGCTGGTTATTATCCTTCTCAAAACTGCAAATTGAATACCGTTGTTAGACTCTGGTCATGCTGTGGAAATTGTTCTGCATTATCAGTTCTTAGCCATGGACCCAAGACATTTCTTAAGGCGTGAAATTAAAGTTTCGTTCGACAGTTGCAGTCGCTTGCAGACTAAGAGGATGTCATATCTACAAGAGAGTTTTAATAGAATATAAATGACTGACCGATCAAAGGCTGGCTACCTGTCAAAGTGACTGCAAAATTGGCAGTATTTCACTTCTAGTCACACACATGAAAAACTTTTCATTGGCATACATGCTGATACTGAGCGACACCGATCTGTTAATTATGTTAGCCTTAATCTGTGGACCGAGCCTTCCAGGGTTCCATGTACGGTACATGCACTTCCTGTTTCTCACACTTTGTCAGGTTATTTTTTTCAAACTAGAGACTAAAGCTGAGAATACTTTGACCTAGACGTCAGTCTCCATTGCTCTTATTGTGTCCATTCCTGCGCTTGTATACGTACATGTGTGGCACCACACAGTGCTGTGGCACTGAGACCAGGTAAATTTAAATGTTGACGATCGCTGAAACCTAATTATAACTCTTTAGACGAAAAGGAGTTTGACCTAGAAAGGTGAAGAGTCGACACACATCGAGTCTATTCTGAGAAGAAATCACACTTTGTCAGACGAGAGACCTTTCTGTCTACATCTTCATGCAAAGTGCTGACTGAAGCTTCTGAGCATTCGTGGAAGACAGATGTTTCTTTTGTTGTATAAAGGCATAGTATTTACACAAAACCTGTTGCATATACTCTATATACCATTATAACTCTTCCAATTCTTTATTCTGTCACTATCCATTTTAAAGATCCTATACAACTCTTTACTTATTTGTGTCATATTCTGCCACTAACTATGTTTGATCATAGTTCTAGCATCCAATGTTTCCAATGTGTGTTTTCTCTGTTTTAGAATTAGGAATCAACTTTGACCACATCTGGCAGAAGACTCTGACGGTGCTCCATCCATTGAAAGCAGCAGACGGCAGCATCATGAATGAGACAGACCTGGCTGGTCCCATGGTCTTCTGTTTGGCCTTCGGAGCGACGCTTCTCCTGGTAAATCATTTGGATAACCGTAGTGAATAATAAATCTAAGGACTTGTATTCATACATTTAGATTAAAAAAAAAAAGTGGTGTCTGTGCATCCCTATTGCAAATATATATATATATATACACATCTGTACACCAACCTGTGCATTATTGTGTATAAGTGTGCATATCTATATCTGACTGTGTGGATATATCTTTTTACCCCTCTCTGTTAACAGTCGGGTAAGATCCAGTTTGGCTATGTGTACGGTATCAGTGCAATTGGCTGCCTTGGCGTGTACTGCCTGCTCAACCTAATGAGTATGACGGGTGTGTCCTTCGGATGTGTGGCCAGCGTGCTGGGATACTGCCTCCTCCCCATGATCCTCCTCTCCAGCTTTGGAGTCATCCTCTCTTTACAGTGAGTACACAGGAAAACGGTTAAGCTTATGAATGTTGACATAACTTGTAAATCAAGCAACGGCTTTTCTTTGTCTACGACGCCACTTCTGTCAGTAGTTTAATGATCATTGGTTGTTGTACAAATAGTTTAGCATTTAATAAAACCGTTTAAATGCAGTTTTGCTACAGTTAAAACAGTGAAAGGTAACTTCCTGCTTCCTTCTCGTCCTCTTTAGGGGCATGGTGGGAATAATACTAACAACAGCAATCATTGGCTGGTGCAGTCTCTCCGCCTCAAAGATCTTCATTTCGGCGTTGGCCATGGATGGACAGCAGCTGTTGGTTGCTTACCCATGTGCTCTCTTATATGGGGTCTTTGCACTCATTTCTGTCTTCTAAAAAAATCATTGTGTAACAGTTTGAAAAAGAAATGCTCCCCCGAATGGCACCAAGATATTTTTCTTTTCTTTTTTCTTTTAAGCCTCCACCTCTCACTACATTCCAACTTGACCATCTGCAGGCTGGAGTGTATCGTCTCACTCCTGTCTTGTCTCCACTTTGTTCCCCTCATACACCTTAAAGGAGAGGACTGTCAAATAAACTCTCCTGTGGACCATGTTGAGCCTTGAACGGCCTAGTGCAGTCGTATGATTTTAAGGACATGATGGCTCAAAGAAGCTAGCAATTATAGTTAATAGTTCACACACGGGAAACCCAAGGAGACAATTTAATTTGGACACCGACGGGAGACGGTTCTCAATTACTAAGGACTGATAACCAACCCTCAGCGAACCCTGCAGAGTGATTTGAAGCCAGTGTAAACGTGATTTTTGCAAAAGCTGTTTAATGTGAGCCTCGTCCGGCAAACCCCTACAGATTCGAAAGCCGCAAGACCAAGGGAAACACCCACTTTCCTTCTGCGCAAGACCACGGTAGCTAATTGTGCTTCACCACAGGACAATGTGGAATCTCCTCTTCTGTATCTTCTTTTCTCCAGGACTGAGCGAGTCATGAATCTCATCATCTGCCCATCACAGCAGTGATCTGATCTTTGTTGTAAAATCAGCAGCTCTACTATATCTTCTCATGTAACGTTTTGTTGTATTCTCTTTAGATTCATTTGAATTTTGATACCATTCAAGAAGAAAACACAGTTTGCACAAAACCAAACCCATTTGATGTATTGAGGATTCAAACTTTTAGAGATACTTTATAATTCTAGGTACACACACGTCTATATAGGTTGTTGGTATAATTTGCATCCTTAACATTTCTCAGATCTTTTATTTGAGAGCCGACTCTGTATGCTTTGATGTTTCATCTGTTGTTCCTGTCTTCTCATGCACATTAAAGTTGTCTTTGAAAGTGATCTGCCTTGTGATATTAAAAACATGCATAATATGGTCAAGCAGATAATTGTAAGAAGTGGTATAACCGCTTTTAAAGAGAGACTGAGACAGGCTTTTTCATTTCTCCTGTGGACCTATAGCTGTCTGCTCTGTTAGAGGAAAGGCAGGCGTGCACTGGAAGAAGTCGGCGTATGATGCATAATGACACTTTGTCACAGCTGGTCGGTAGATCACAGGAAATATCCTGCATGCTTTGAATCACGCTATTGTCCTTTTCCCTGCTTCTTAGGTCTGAAAGACCTTTCAAGGTTTGAAATGACATTAGTAATTGAAAAGTGAATGCAGACATTTCCCTGTGAACATTCACCTCCAGCACTAAAGTCTGGTCAGGTGAGAGCAGCATTATCCACACATCACCTCTCCTGCTTCTCTAAGAACGTTTTCACATCTTAAATCCATTAAGATGTATTATGTATTCTCAAAGGCTTTCTACCTCTAGTGTGTTCAGGATGGGTTGGTTATACTTATTGGGTGATTTCTAATTTTTCAGCTGAGCAATTCATGGCAAGCTTCATTTAATGCATCAACTAGGCAGAAGTTATTGACAAGTACAGCATGTTTTTTCAGTTTTAAACACCATTGCACATAATGCAGCTCTACGCTACCCTAAAAATTCTGACACATTACAAATAGATGGCAGGATTTTTATCTAATGGCGTAATTATGATACGGCGCCGCTGAATGTAATTTCTGTTTACTCGTGTGTGTTGCCCTTTGACCGCAACACCAGAGGATCATCTTTTAAGCAAAAACCACAAGAATATCTTATCAATATCACTTATTATTGCAGACCAGGTTATTTATGGAAGTTTGTCTTCATTTTTTCATGATCTGTGAAACTACTTGTGTTTGGTAGGATAGAAACAACTCCAACTGATGGTGTGTGGAGGAGATGGTCAGCCCACAGAAGAAGAAGAAAAAACACATTGACTCTTCTAAGTAAAGCTTTAAAATGCAAGAACGCTCATAATTTAAACAGATTAATAGAATTTCATGGTTGGAACACAACTCTCTCTTTTTTCTTCTCCCTTCTGGGTTTTCTGTGCCCCAACATACACTAAACATATACACAGATGTAAACATGTACACAGAGGGGCTCCTTGAATGCACGCTAACTCACCTAGGAGAAATGAATAATTGAAAAATGAAAATGGAGTGCTTTTCGTTTTCCAACAAACTCAACATCAAGGAGGATACTTTGCATTTCAAGTAACGGGCAAAGTCTGCTCTCTCAGGCCACTCTCTCATTTGGCTAAGTGTTTTATATATCTTCTGTATGTACAATCTGTTTGTATGTAGCTTTAAAAAGTAGATTAAATTTACTTGTAGTTTAGTGTCAATTAGATTCTCAACGTATGAAAGGGTTCAGTGTTGCACTTTCATGGGGATTCTTTAGGGTTTCTCTCTAAATAGAACATTGCTTGTATACAGTATGTGTCATGAATTGCTTTTTCCGAGTTATGTTGTGCACACACACACTGTGGTGCGGGTCTCGAGTGCTACAAATTGTTCTGCAGTTTTGCATCTTCACAGCTCTGGGGAGCTCAGAAACAGTTCAAGATGTTGTGGGTATATGATTGAAGTGGGCAGGATGTTGACATTCACGCACCCCTCGTGTATGTAGTATCTGGTTTCAGCCAGTGTGCAGTCGGGTTTCAATGTCTTGCATCTGGATTCACTCAGGGGTATCTCAAATTCTCACATTTTCCCTCTTGGGCCTAGAGAGGGAATTAATTCCAAAAATCCATGTTTGCCTTAAATCAAGTCCTTATTTGATCCTCCTCCCCATCTGATTGTCCAAACTCTAGGGGTTCCCTAATTGACAGTAGGTGCTGAAGTGAACGTTACAGATTCTCTATTTTAGTATTTTATCATTCCATGAGGCCAATATGGTTTCAGAATGTGCTGAATGTGCTGCTGCGAGCCAAGCTTTGACAGCTGCAGGACTTCCCATCCACAATGTTTTGACAATATTACCATGGAAACTTGGATTATTTATGTTCGACAGAGCTGGATTTAACCGAGTTGTCAGTGCGTATATATCCATCTATTTAGATCAGGCGATGAGTCAATGATTCACTGTGTTCACAACACACTGGATGCAACAATAGAAGCTTGAAGCCAGAAAAGTGAACCTCAAACAAGTTGGCTGTTTGGGATGTTCATGGAGTATTTACAGCAGGTGATGGAAATCTTGATAGGAGCCAGATGGCTGTTGAAAGACAAGACTTCCTGTTTTTCATCACCTCGTGAAACATTTACACCCAAGCGCCTCCAGATGACAGTGTTGAGTTACAGCCTGTCCTCTTGGCTGATTGAATGTTGTTATTGCGGTGTTCACTGGCTTAGAGTCTGACATTTCCCCTGGAGAAATAACTACATCCCCACATCTTTTTTCGAAACTTCCTTATTGTCATAATCAGGGAAATGATGGCTCACTCTGGATCAGATCATCTTATGAGGAGCTTCAGTCTAACTCTCCCAGCTCACTACTCAGACTGCATTATGGGTCTTATGTCTACACATTTGTTTGGTTTAGTTTGTAGGATAATCTCATTTTACATAACGTAGAGGAACATTTGGTGGGCACATTTTATTTAGGTGCCTCAAGTATCCTGAATACACATGCTGTACTTTGACTATAGGTGGGCCCTGAGAAATCCAAAACAGTCCCTGATGTTGTCTCTGTTAACACATATTGCACAATACAACACCATCACTGTTACTAAACCTAAATGATTTAAGTGAGATTAATGTCAAAATATTGCTGAATGGTATAAGGCTTTTTATTTTTGGTCGTGGAAAGAAAGTTTTGTTAATATTAGTCATCACTTGAATAAATAAATCGAATGAACATGCAATAACGCTCCTGCTGCTACCACTGTTCCTCCCATCACTACTTCTTTAAAATGTAGCAGCATCCTAACCTTCAAGCTGTTTACGGTATAGCTCACTAGTTGACTGCCGCTTGTCTCCGGGGAATAAGGGCCACCGTACCATTATGTTCTCTAATGGAGGATAATCTCACCTCCATCTGACCGGCCTCAGACACAGTCTGTTCTGCCCAGCAAACTGGCCCGACCGACTGGTGAGTTAGAGCAGCTCATGATGCACTCGTCTCTGCTAGAAAGAAATACATGCGAGACGAGCTGGTTGGATGAGAAGAGAAGGAGAGGAGGGAAACAGATGGGAGTTGTACTAAATAGAAAAAAGTTCTATCAGCAATTCAAATTCACAGCATCCAGATAAATATAAATATATGTTGATGCCCACTAGATTTAGTCTACATGTAACTCTTAGATTGCTACTGCTCTGCATTTACAGCTGGAAGCTGTATAATACATTTTTATGACACTGTATGTCTTTTTAATGTGATCTCATACACTAGTCATGAGCTTAAAGGGGAACTACGTCCTTTTTTCCAAATTCACGGTCTAGGACAGTCCAAACATATAAGAAAAACTGCAGCAATATTCTCTTTGCATACAAATTCATCACTCAAAAAAGAAAAAAGAAACTCTGAAGTTTTACTGAATGACTTCTGAGAATAAATGCATCAACTCATTAAAGCCCACCATACATAGCCTAAGATGTACTATTTAATATTTGTGTCTTTGGTAACCCCGAGTGATAACATACAAAAAAATACAAAGTGAAGACGGTAATGCAAAAAATGCAACAGACACTTTCCTTGGGATTGTTTATTTTTTTACACACTTGTGAAATCTGAATATTTTAGAATTAGCTATAATCACATAAAATATACTGCACAAATGGGCTTTAACATTTAAACCATCATCTCAACAAAAGCATACAATCAGTTTAGATGATATTCTTTGGTCTGCTGCACGGTCAGACGTATAGCCTACTGTGATGTGTCTTCATTATTTGGTAAAAGGTGAGAAAGTGTTTCTGTTTTTAAATGGCGGCCAGCAGCAGATGTATCTGGATAGCACATAATAAATGTGGCCTGTGTTTGCGATGCGCTCCAAAAAGCCTCACAGCAATGAGGCTGATTAGGATGTTATCTTCACAGAGAGAGCAGACAAGCCACAGGTGGAAATGCAGCGATTGGTATTCAGCGCCGCAGCGCCGCCTTTTAATGTATCTGCAAAGCCAACAGCACATGAATATTCACAAAGCAACTGTTAGCATAGCACTGAGTGTGATTTTGTCCTGCACTTCATTAGGCTAATTGTCCCCCCTCATTGCACTGAGGCCTCTTTTAACAGTTGATTCAGAACTCAATGAACCAACGCAAACACTGCAAGGGACGATCAGCAGAGTCCAGCTGAGGGAACCTGTGTGTGTGTGTGTGTGTGTGTGTGAGTGAACATTAATGCTTAATCATGTGTGTTCATTGGTGGGTGGGTATGTACGGCATGTGTTTGGGGGGGGGGATCTTCTCCTGTGCAAAACAATATGTGCCTATACTAAAGATGTTGGAGGTCACAAATGCACACAAAAATACAAAGATGCAGATATGTTCCACGTAATCTCTCAGTGATTTTCCACAGATGAATGTACACAAGCATGTGCAGAAACACACACACATAAGCCTAGATAGATTGTATTTTTGTAACGACAGTGAAGAAATGGTGCAGATTGTTTCCACATTTATGTAGATTAAAGGGGACATATCATGCTCATTTTCAGGTTCATACTTGTACTTTGAGTTTATACTTGAATATGTTTACATGCTTTAATGTTCAAAAAACACATTGTTGTTCTTATACTGTCTGTCTGAATATACCTGTATTCACACTATGTCTGATACGCTCTGTTCAAGCGCCTGTCTCTTTAATTAAGCCCCCCGATAAAAGCCCAGTCTGCTCTGATTGGCTTGTTGTAATAAGTCTGCACGTGACATTAGGAGGTGGAGACAAATCTGAATGGCTTGTTGCATCACATGTTTTCTGATCTCGTCTACCTCTCAAAAACAGAATGTGTTGTCTTATTTCATAGTTTGTTAGTTC